AGTTTTGTAACTCAAAAATCTGGGGGCTGGGGAGATAGCTCAGAGGTATACACCCCTGCCTGGCAATCACAAGGTCCTGAGTTCGATCCCTGGTAAAAAAAAAAAAAAAAAAAAAAAAAGAATCTGGGAGCCATGCAGCTATATGCCTGTGATTCCAATATGCACATACAGGCACAAAGGGGAAGAGGGGGAAGGAGGGAATATGAATGACAAGTGAGTGACAGTCCCTCCATAACCTAGCCTTGGAAATGTTAGCCCATTTTCTAGTCATTAGGGTCTAGTCATTAGGCTCAGCCTGTGCTTGAAGGAGGAGCTTGTGACGAGTTAGAACTCTTGGGAGATGGGGAGCTCTGGGAGCCTCTTACAGGCTGCTGGGAATAGTTTGCTTTCTGAGAGTGATAATGAAGTTGTTACTGGTAGAATAAATTGTCAGGGGCTCAGCATGCTACTTGCTTCCTTTTAAAAATGAGAATTTATTGTTACAAAATACTTCACATAGTCTTTAATGGACTGAAAATTTTTCTAAAGCAATTACATATATTCTGTATGTGTGGCTTAAAAGAGGGACGGACAAATGCCCTGCACTTCGCAGGTTTACTGTCTAGCTGAGATGTCAGGACCTGCTGCGAGGAGAATATTAATGAGATACTCCTTCTTCTTTTATTTACATCCTCTTATTTAGGCTTGTATCATCCAGTACCTTGTGGGACTTCTTTCTCCAAGTTTTAGCAACACCAACACTAGAAGTTTGGCTCTTGTGGCATCCCCACCTCCCTACAGTATTCCTGGCTGCCCCTGAGAAATGCTGCACAGGCTCTCGAATCAGCTTGGGCTGTCACTTGGTCCTGCCCCCCTCAGGCAGGGATATGGTACTCCTTTCACTTTGGATTTGTGCATGGATCGCTCTTGCTTCCACCAGGAGGTATTCCCTGATGTCAGTGGTCCTCACGGTGCCTCCCTTTGATGGCTGGAAGCTTTCTGTGAAGGGAGAAAAAGGTGCCCTTAGTGGTCCTGCCCACTTTGCTAAGGGGAAGCGTCCAGAACAGGGCTACTCAGGCACCAAAGGCTCGCAGCTCTCGGCAGGGCACTCTTCGCTCCACCATCTGCACTTTTCTTACAGGGACACATGCATGTCACAAAGGTAACTCCATTGCAGTGGATTCAGAAAGGAGCAGCGGCACACTAGACCTATATTTTCTGTCGTGCTGCTCTTGATGACCCCTGAGCCCATTCTACAAGACGCACCTGCATGAGTCCCACTCCACCATAGGCACAATACAGGGACATCCCTTTCCCTCTCCCCCAAGCCAAAAATGCGAAGTGTCCCCGCAAGTCAGTGCAGACAAACTCATCTGGGAGAGGCCTGTATACCTAAGCCCACAGTGCAATGAGTTCAAGTCTTCACTCTCCTGGGACGGTTGCTACACACAAAGAAATCTACAATTTGCATCTCAAGGAACAGGTGATTCAACACCCACCAGGACTCACTCAGAGCAAGCAGGGCACAGTCACCCCTTACTTCTGGTGCTGCCTGGGCTGAAACATTCTCAGCAACACAGTTCTTAGGGCTGTGAGCTGCAGCACGAAGGCAGGGAGTGGAGGGACCATGCCTGCTCTTTGCTCGGTGTTATCTTTATCTTTGAGGTGGGGTCAGCTTTTGCAGTTGTTCCATAAGGTTGGTTCAAGGCAAGCCAGAGTTAGCTTCTGATGCTGGATCATACCTTTTGCTGTGTGTACTTGTGTGCCAATTTGGCTGTAATGAATCACAACAATCATGGTTCCTTAAAATAATATCAACAAAACATTAGTCTCTCTGTTCTGAGGCTGAGAGTCCTTAGTCCAGGACAGAGCCTCTGGGGGAGAATCCGTTGCCCCTTATGGCTTCTGTTGGCTGCGGGCAGAAGCATAATTTCAATATCTGGCCCCTCTCATATCATCTCTGCTTCTGTGCACTTCAGTGTCCCCCTTCTAATAAGGATCCAAGGGCTCCCCTAAACCAGGGAGTTTCATCTCTGTGTCCTTCACTAATTACATATACACTGAACTTCTCTCCAAATAAAGTTCCATCCTGAAAAGGTGGGCAAGGACTTTCAAAGGGCGCTGTAGCCCATGTTGTATCCTGCTCAAGTTTATATTGTGAAGTCCAAACCCTCCGTGTGAGCTCTGTGCCACCCCTCCATGCAGTGGCGCGCTAACCTCAGGTACCTCAGAATGTGGCTATATTTGGAGACTGGGTCTTTAAAGAAGGAATTAAGGTTAAATGTGGTTTTTATAGTGGGCCCTAACTCCAACATGGCTAGTGTCCTTCTATAGGGACCTTTCGCCACAGCAAGGAAGAGTAGCCATGGTCCTCCGCTATCCCGTGGCCACAGGCTTCAACAAGGGCCACAGGTGACTAAGAATGTGAGCAAACTGAGGCACAGCTGTCATCATGGACATCTTACCAAACACACCAAGTTCACACGGGATATGATCTGGGAGGTATGTGGCTTCGCCCCTAGAGTGGCACGCCATGGAGCTGCTCAAGGTCTCCAAGGACAAGCATGCCCTCAAGTTCATCAAGAAAAGGGTGGGGATGCACATCTGTGCCAAGAAGAAGCGTGAGGAGCTGAGCAACGTGCTGGCTGCCATGAGGAAGGCAGCTGCCAAGAAGGACTAAGCCCCTCTGGAATAAAGCTTTGCAGAAAGAAAGAAAAAAAAAAAGCTATAGGGAGAACATACACAAGCAAATGAAAAAGGCCTCAGAGGACACAGCCTCGCCAGCTCCCAGCCTCCAGAACCATGCAAACAGAAATTTCTATTTTTTTTAACAAGAAGTTTGTTTAAACAGAAATATATTGAAAAGGAAAACAACCTAAGATTCTTTTTCAATAGTAATTTACTCGTACTTAAAGTCAGATTGCTCTACATGTAACAGCTACATCAGAAAGTTATAAGATTGCGCTTGGTTTTACAATGATAAATGAAAAACATTAAAATTCTCCAATCAAACAGGGTATGTAAGGATATTTATGTTGTCTTCTCTGTTAAAACAGGGAGAGAAAACTAACTTGCTGGAATATATATAATATAGAGAGCTGGTGAGCATGCCACTAATAGATAAAGGGGATCATTTTCACAGAAACAGGATTTCTCCATCCCATCTCCATTTGATGTCAATCAAAACCTATTGTTGGCCATTTGAGAAATTTCTATTATTTAAACCACTAGTCCATGACACTATTTGATAGTCCTGGCTAATGAGTACACTGTATTAATTAATAAATTACACCCGGGGGCAAAAAAAAGTAAAAGCTGTTGTCTGCATATAAGACCACCTAGAGTGTTTTCTAGGAAACTGCTTATTGAGTGAAACCATTTAAACTACATGACACAGGCCTTAGGAATGGATTTTCTTCTTTCCTTCTCCATAGGGAGCAGTATTGGTGTCTTTATCGCCCATGATCTGGATGAAATAAACACCATCAACAGTATCTTAAAGTACAAAATTGTGGAGCAAACCCCCAAACTTCCCATGGATGGACTCTTTCTGGTTGAAGAATACGAGGGAAAGGTCCAGTTAGCTAGACAGTCCTTGAAGAAGCAAGATGCTCCTCAGTACAACTTAACAATGGAGGTGTCTGACAAAGGTTGGTATCACACCCACAGTCATGGTTACAAATAACTGTTTGTCTTCTAATTGTGTTGCATTGGGTTTCTCATTACTGGAAATGCGCACAGCTCTGCTGCCTTCGCTTCCTTCGTGAAATACGTGCTGTTCAGAGTAGTAGCTCAGACAACATTGCTGGGTTTTTCTGGTGCTTCCAAGAAGCAGATGCTGGGAGGGGAATAAGTATACATCGCCAGGGGATGCCTTGAGAAGAGGGGGGATGGACACAGCAGTAGGAGCCTGACTCTAAGGGAAGGAGAGAGGGGGAAGGAGCGGCCTAGACCAGGCAGCCTAAGGAGAGCTCATGGTGGCTGTCTGGGAATGTGCTACCTCCAAGTGGGTCTGCCTTAGCACCACCGCCCTCTGCAGCAGCTGGCTGGGGCAGCCCATGGAAAGGCAGCCTTTGGTGCAAACCCAGTGGTGAATTTTGTAGTGCAGCACCGCGGGCATCATCAACTAATGTCCTAGTTGTCACAAGTTTGCTTGGAATGTTCTGGTGGTCACTACAGTCACAGATAGTAAAAGTAATTGCATGAATTGCTCTGCTTTCAGACTCAAACAGCCTTCCTGATGAAAGTTAGGGAGAACTGCACCTTTTGGGGGAGAAAGTAGGGGAAAGGGAATCTGAACTTCTGTCAGATTCTAGCTGGCCTTTTGGCAGTAGTTGGAAACATTTTCCTCTACTTCTTGCACACTTCTAAAATAGACAGTCCTTAATCTCTGCTGAGTCCCAAGAGCCTTTGGGAATCTGATGAGAACTATGCATTCCTAAAAACATGCACACAACCTTAGGCAAATGTGCACAGACACACAAAAATAAATTTGTTCAGAGAGGCGACCAATCGGGGGCACTTAGACTCCTAGGAGGTGAAGAATCTTTCTTTGAGTCAGGTTAGATTTCTGAACAAGTCAGTAATTGCTATGCCGGGGAGCACAAGTCACCTAGGCATGGAGAGGCAAATGGCAACTTGCTACATTGTACTTTGAAGTTCTGTCTCTTCTGTGCATGTGAACATATTAAGGAATTAGATTATAGCAAACTGCCAGTGCACAATGTAGAAATTCTCTAGTTAGGCAAATGTTGAGGGTTTCATGTTTGCTTAACATTACATTGAGGAACAGCAGTATAATAAACCATATCTGTCCCTGGCAAGCTGCGCGTCACACTAGTAGCTACCCATTCTCTCAGCAAATGGTTACTGAACATTCGCCTTGTCTGACATCCCCTGCAAGGCATGAGGGCTCCATAGGTGAAGACTCAGAGTCTGTCCTCAAGGAGTGCTTGCTCTGGTAGAAAAGACAGATATATGACTTAGTAAATTGCAAGGTGCACAGACAAGGTAGCCTGCAAAATGAATGAGGGACGCGGAGGGGGAAGGCAGGTAAGACTTTCTGGAAGAAGTCTCACTGTGCTAAGCTTTGCGGGGTGAATAGGATGAATTGTAACATTGTGTGGGCCTCACAGGAGAATGGGAATTCCATAGGCAAAAGCATTGGGATGCGAAGGGATTTGAAGTTATAAGCATGCGACACGGAAATCAGATTACAAATTGTTCATGTGTGCAGGTATAGAAAACATGCTATATTCACTACTTGTGCACTGAAAATACAGCTATATATAGACACGTGTGTGTTGATGGATTAAGTAGTCAGTTATCCGCTACAGAAAATTAGAGACTAGACTATAATTAACATAGTTTTACATAAAACTAAAGAATGCCTGGTAAGTAGGAGGCCCTGCCTGACTTGAACAAGGTAGTTTTAGAGCAATGGACTAGCGAGCTTGGGCCAAGGTATGAGTCAGTTTTCCTGTTGCTGGGAGAGGTTTAATTTGGCTCATGGTTTTGAGGGTTTTAGTTCATGGTCACCCAGGCTCAGAGGCAGAAATGTCATGGCAGAAGGGTGTAGATGGGTGAAGTGGCTTATGTTATGGTGGCCAGGAAGTTGAACAGAGCAGTGCCAGAGAAGAAGGGGTGAGGGGCCAGACACCGACCTGAGGGTCACACCTCAACCACTCAGTGCTTCACTCATTACCTAGGCAGCTTTCCGGTCAACTCAGGTTGACAATTCAACTTAATTGTCACACCCAGGAGCGACCCCACCCTTATGTATACATGTTCTGGGGACTAGTCATAAGGCTAATCAGTATCTGCTTGTTGATAGTGAAACTATATTAGATTACGTCTGGCATCATGTTTGGTACATTGGGCAGAAGCTTGAGAGTTAAACTACCTGGATATATTAGTCAGGATCCTAGCAGGAGACTGGGTGGCCTTCTCAAAGGTGTAACCGAAAGGAGAGGCAGGAGAGCACAAGTTTGAGCCAACTTTGGGTGACTTAAGAAAACCCTTTCTTAAAAATAAATAAATAAATAAATAAATAAAAGGCTGGAGATGTAGCTTAGTGCAAAACCATGAAACAAATGAGGATTTATGATGGTCACGGCAGGGTCAAGGGGAACCAGTGAGGAGGTGTGAAGTGCAGTACGCACTCTTTACTATCCGAAGCCTGAGGGAGCAAGACCTGGGCCAGAAGCCAGACAGGAAGGGCACCCTGGCCAGTTTCCTCCTGTTTTTCCTCCAGTCTCTGGCCAGGCTGCCCACTGCAGAGGCCAGCCGTCACCCAGAGAGCGAAGAAGTACACTGATGCCATGCCAAGGTCAGCCCCTGGCCACACGAGAGGCTGAAGATGGGGAGGGCAAAAGGAGGGCACAGATTTGAATCCTGGGCCCACCATCAGAGAGCTGTGCTACACTGGGTTGGTTTCTTGACTTCTCTACTTCTTGTGTCTATTATTTAAATAAGAGGAATGGAAGATAAAATAAGTAATGCAGGTAAGACTCTTAGTATAGTGACCAGGGCACAGACACCACCAACAGTTTGTATTATGATGAAAACCTCAGTTCTGTTACTGTCCACATCTTGCAGATAAACTGACTGAGGCACTGAGACACTGAGTGGTACTCAAGTTCTTCCATCCCTGATGAGGGGCAGAGCCAGAATTGAAAGTACAGGAACCCAGAGGCCATAGCACACACAGCATGTGGTGATCTGAAGAATGCTGATCCCAACAAAAAACACCTCATTTGTGTCCTGTTCTCACTCTTTTCCAGGCCCTCCATGCTCAGCTGGGTCTGAGACCCAACCTCTCAGCTGGGTCTGAGATCAACTGGTCTCTAGACCATCAGAGCCACTGCTTAAAACCTGCGCCACTCCCCAGGGTTCCATGAGCTGTCCTTTTGGTGGTCCTTGGAGGAGGCTAATGTACCATGCTGCCCCCACTCAGAAGAGAGGGCATAGGGCCCTTCAGCCTCCCCACTGTAGAGAGCAGATGGGTTTGAATAAGGAAAGACAGCCCTGGGGCTTCTCAGGAAGGCTTTCTGCAAGGGTAGTTTTGTGCTGGACTTTGATAAGTGTGTAAGGTTCAGAAAGAGGACAATGCTTCTCACAAAAGGGAACAGGCCTTTCCTCGGACAAAGCAGGTGGAGAGTGATGGGGAATCCGGAAAACTTCCCTTGGTCCATCTTCATCTCACTCCTCCCTCAGGCGACCTGCTTGTGAGTGCAGAGGGGAGCAGAGTCCTCTCCTCAGAGAGACTGCATATCATTTGTGAAGTTGTGATGTGGCTCTCACTTCCTTTGCTAATTTTTCTTACAGATTCTAATTTTTTTTTTTTTTTGTATTTTAGGGAAGGGTCTACAGGGTATTCAGGGTCTCACAACTAGATCAGACTCATAGTGATCTGCCTGTTTACAGCCTCCCAAGAGCTGGGATTACAGGCATGGACCACCACACCCAGTCTCAATTGCTGTCTCAGCACACCCCGGGGGTGGGCTGCACAGCAGGCCTGGGGATCGAACCCCTGGCCCCAGCACCTGCTTGCAGGCACTTTAGTCCACTGAGCTATTTGGCTGGCCCTTGCAGATTCTAATTTTAATGCATGATTTACAGTGAAAAATTTCTCATATAACTTTGGTTTTCAGATTTCAAGACACTTTGTGCTATAGAGATCAACGTTATTGATATCAACGATCAGATTCCCATCTTTGAAAAATCAGATGTGAGTATTTTTCACCATTTGTTTTTTTTCTTTACTTTGTTTATATTACTCAATCCTTAATTCTGGGGCAAAAACCAGACAATCATTAAGAAAAAAGCCAGACAGGACAGGTAGCCTTGGTCAATGAACCAGGAACAAATCCAGACACCTCCTCTAGTGGAAGTCTTCAGGGAACAATAACACTCACTCTTACAGTATCTAGAAATGTGTGTTTACAAACTCCTTCCAACAGCTTATTTATTCCAAGGGCTGCTTGGGTTAAGTGACAACCATCTCCTTTATCAAAATGAGCAAATTTGAGTTGGCTGCTTATTGTTTGCCAATATAGATTTCTTATTGATTACTGCAAGCATTTTGAGTTAAACATTAAATAATTTGGATTATTGGCAACTTTAACTAGTTTTGTAATTAATTAGATAACAGGAGAGAAAAAGAAGAGCCTGTGGGTTAAGTTGAATACAAAGTATACTCAAGACATTTGGAAGAATTAGGAGAATTAGATATAAGGAAAAATAAATTTAGAACATCAGGAACACAAATGACTGTTTTCTTGTCCTTAATATGAGCTTCGGACTTGCCGATAGCTTTCTCACTGCTTCTCTTAAAAGGACATCTAGCTTTATTTAGTTGGAAGGAGAGAAGCGCATTTGACTAGATTGTTTTGTCATGTTTAAAGTCAGTGATGAGGCAGCCCCAAACCCCCTGACGGTGCTCATAAATCATAACAGAAACAAGGCTGTGACAAAAAAGGCGATTGATTTATGGGAAGCCTCAGAATGGCAAGAGGTGTGACTAAACATGTTTGTATAACAGGGACCGAGATTAAGCAAGTGTGACATAAACAATCCACCACTTCTCAGTGTCCACTGTCTTGGGCATTTTATCACTACCCAGTGTTATGATCTTGCATCTAGACAGAAGTTTTTATTTTTTATTTTAAATTTTTATTTATTCAATACAAGGTCTCTTTATACAGTTCAGACTCATAGTGATCCTCATTTCAGCCACCCCAGTGCTGGGATTACAGGCCTGTGCCCCCATTCCTGGATTCCGGGCCAGTTCGGCATGGCATGTGATAAAATTTGGGTCCTTGCACTTGGCCTGGCAGACACTTAGACTGCCAAGCTATCTCCCTAGCCCTAGACAGAAGTTCTTAGGTTGAGGGTAAGAAACCTACTTTGGAAATCTCAGAGTTTAGAAACACAAGTTGAGCTATAGCAACTGGAGGCCTGCCTCATGCTACAGTGGCCCTTACCTGGGCCCATTACGTCGCGAAGATCACACACTGGGAGGGCTGATCTGGGAGGCTTTCAGGGGAGTGGACAATGCTTCAGGCCAGTGGTTAAGAGCATGGCTTTATAGTGGGACACACATGGGTTCAAATCTCAATCCTATGACTCATTGCAGTGCCATCCTGGGTGAGCTTGATCTTGCCTGCTTTGCTCCCTATAAAAAGGAGAAGGTGCACAATATAGCTATTCAACAGAGTGTTTTATTTCTTATCTTTACTGAACATTGACTACAGACCAGGCACATGGAGCTTTCTATACATTTATATCTCTCTTAATCCCCACAGCAAACAAGAAGTAGGTTCTTTTATCTCTATTAACCAGCCATTAAACTGGTACTGAAAGAGGGGAGGGAGGGAGCTTGCTTCCAGTCCCTCAACTGACAAGAGGCAAGGTAGGCACTCCTGCCAGCTCCTTGACTCCAAAGTTTAAGCCCTTAACCTCTATCCCCTTTTGATTCAAGAATTAATTAAACTAATTTATGTAGCGTGCCTGTTGCATGGTAGATCCTTGATATATTACAGCTTTTATATATCATTGAACTGTAATAGTTATAGCTGTTAAACATACTGCATATGGGAGGGAAATCCTACTAGCAGATTTCTGAGGTGTGTGCTCGTCTCTGCCAGGTATATTAGTCCATGACTATGACTGCTGTTAAAATCAACTGCTCCATATTCATAAATAATAAAATATGCTTGGAAAATATTGATGCAGCCTATGACCATGTGTGAGACAAGTGTGCCCTTTGGCAATTATACTTGATGACAGTGGATAGTCTCATGGTGTTCTCCCTCTGTTTCCCCCTCAGTATGGAAACCTGTCTCTTCCTGAAGACACAGCTGTTGGGTCCCAAATCTTAACCATCCTAGCCACAGATGCTGATGAGCCATTTACTGGGAGTTCTAAAATCCTGTACCGGATTACACAGGGGGACAAGGAGGGAAGACTGGGGATTGATACAGATCTCCGCACTAATGCAGGATATGTCACAATTAAAAAGGTAAATAGTCCACTAAATGAACGTATCTTTTGGTGGATTAATTTATTTGTATTTGTTTATTTCTTTTAATGTATTTAGTACAGGGTCTACAGGGTCTCACACACAGATAGAACTTGTAATGATCTTCCTGTTTTCAGCCTCCCAAGTGCTGGGATTACGGGCACATGCCACCACACCCAGTCTCCTTCACTGTCTCAGCATGCCCCGGGGGGTGGCGCTGGCACGGCAGGTCCAGGATTGAATCCTGGTCCCTGTGGCTGCCTAAGCAGGAGCTTTAATCAGCTGAGCTATCTGCTGGTTCCATTAATTTATTTGTGATTAAGCAAGGACCTATAAATAGTATTAGCAATTACTTGTCAGGCATGGAGGTGGCCTCTTGGTGTACTCTGTTGTTGCTGTCCTCCTGACAGAGAGTCTGGGTTCTAGTCCTAGTCTGTCACTAATTAGCCAAATAACTTTTACAGTGAGATAGGATTTCCACATGGAAGACAGGCTGAATAGTTTTTTGGTAAAATATATGTTCCATACAATAACTGAGACATATACCAAAAGTTGTTCATCTGAAGATCAAATATAAGTAGGTATTCTCTCTCTCTTTTACGTATTTGTTTGTTGCAGGGTCTCACTATGCAGCTCAGACTGGCGGTGATCCTCCTGCTTTCAACATCCCCAGCCTTGGGATTATAGGCACGTGACACTACACCCAGACTCTGGCCAGCTCAGCCTCTTCTGGGGGTGGAGCTGGTGTGGCATGTGGTGTGGTGGATCCAACTGTGGTCCCTGTGTTTGCCTAAGCTTGCCTAAGCAGGTGCTTTAGTCTGCTGAGCTATGTCACTGGCCCTGGTATTCTCTATTTCAATTTGCTAAAGCTTTATGGAGGGTGAGGTGGGCCTCAAGGCTTCACTTTTCCCTTTGCAAGTGTGGAGAGAGCAGGTGGATGAGTCCTATGGGCCTTAGGCTGTTAACCCGTTATTCCCCTGTGTCCAGCCTATAGACTCCTCTTGAATAGTGACTGGAACTTGTTGGATCACCTTTCAAGACATGATAGATAAGTTAATCCTTTATCCCTTCTCCTTGCTTTTACCTGTTGGAGTACTGCTAAGCCCATTGGTTCTTGCTTTGTCCCTCTCTCTTTAAGGACAAGGTGCCCTGGATCCAAAGCATTAACTCATAGTTCCTGTTTCATTTTACAGGTTCCTACTAACCCTACTTCAATCCATGCCAGTGTCCCATATCCACATGTGAGCCTTGTCTGTTTTCTCCCTAGCTGCTTTATACATGTTGGAGTGTGAGCAGAGTTTACTGGGTGACTCATTTGTCATCCAGGATATTTCAGAGTTTGAGTACCTTTCTTGGGGTGAGAGTGAGACCTTCCAGTTAGAAGAGCCACTTAATTCAATGAATAGAAATATTTGTTCTAATAGTGTTTGTGGACAGGATATCATGTCTGCATCTTGTACTATGAATAACCACTATGAAGACAAAAATATGCAATGTACTAATTATTGAAACTGTCCTACTAATCAGTTTTGAAACTATCTCATTGCTAATTGTTTCTCAATAAAATTATTTTTAAAAAAAGAAAAAAGAAAAAAAAAAAGAGCCAGAGAAGGGTACCATACTGGAGAATCTGCCTATGTGGTTAACTACAGAATCACGGCAGTGTGGTGGGTCAGAGTCTTCAAAGGAAGGTTCTGGAAGACAATTTTGAGGCAGGATACAAGAAGCTGAAGGTAGAGGCTACAAATGAAGACAAAATGGAATAATTCCACAGGAAGTGGACAAATGCAAAGGGATAGGGAAGCACCTCTGTGCAGGATCTTGGAATATGGTCATGCTCTTGCTGTACAGCTTTTCTGGCACAGAGGGTCTCCCTGGGCTTCAGCCAAGAGATCTGTGTGTAGATCAACTCAAGGCACAGCATTCTGTATGAGTCTGATTTTTGGAAAAGATGCCATTGCAACTGCTGTGCTTATCTGTTTACATGGACAGAATGTCAGGAGTAAAGAATAAAGGTGGGGATTTCAGAGTTGGCTGGGGGTGCGGAGGTGGCCAGGTACCATGCTGGTGGCATGTTATGTGCTGGGCAGAGACAGCTTTCTCCCACCCCCTCCCCCACGCCCCAGGACCAGAGCTCTCTAGGACTCGAAGGGAAGACAAACTCATCCATCCTGCTGAGGGTGACTCCCACAGCAGTGTCAACATTTTCATAGTTGCTTATTGTGGACCAAGTTAAACTAATTTGGCCACTTGTGGTGAATGGACACTTACTAGGTATGATTGAAAAATACAGTATTTAAATTTAAAAAATAACCACAGGAAAAGATATAGTCCATTAATGCCCCTCAAAATACAAGGAATGTTTCCCACTGGGGTGATGGGGGCCAAAAGGCATGATTCACAATTAAATGGTCCTCCCTAGGATCTGCTGCTCCAGCCCCTAGGGAGAGTCTAGAATCCTGGAATGTTGACGGATGCCCCCAGGGTGGTTCAAGTTAAACAAGCTGTAGGAGCCCTGCCCCTCCTGTTTGTTAGCATGCAGTGCTGGCCTGCTGTGAGGCAGACTGGGATTCTCGAGGTTGAACGCTGGGGGTAATGACCAGGAAGGTGGCTTGCTTGAATCTTGCCTTCTTGGCTCTTCAGTTTTTCTTCTATGACCCCATTTCTTGAAACTCAGAGTCTTGGTTTACATATTTTTAATGCAAATTTTTCATTGGTTTATGATTTTTAATTTTTTCTTGATTTGTGATTTTTTTTAGCCAGCTTGAGCATCATCTAGAGCACCGAACATTTTCTTCCCTCATTCTCTGTGAAAAGTTAAGTGTCCGCCATCTCAGCCCTTGATCTCCCTCAGCATTTTATCTCTGCTTCCGGGTTGAACCAACATCACTGGTTTAACTTTTGAGGCAGTAGTGTGCAGAAGAGAAACCAAGGCAAGGGCAGGGTGCCCCCTCACCTGATGTGTCTCAAGAGGCCATGCTGGGTCTTGACTTGAAAGACCATGTATGTGGTTCCGCAGGGCTTGGCCTCGATTCAGCGTTGCTGCTTATGCCTCGCTAAATTATCCCAGCAGGTGTTCCGGTGTAGAAGTGAAGTGAACTGGGAGGCAAAGGCGGAATGCTCCATTGCCTCTTGTCCTTCGATTCAGAGTGCTTATGGGGCACTGAACGGCCTCCTGCGTGGCCCCCCTGCCTGGCTTGGGTCCTCCGAGGCCATTGCTCATATGGCTGCCCTAGACCTAGCTTCTAAAACACAAATCTGATCTTGTGAGTCCCAGCAAAGTCCCAGCCATCTTCACCATCCTCTACTTCGTCTTCTTCATCCTCATCTGCTGTCTTTATTGTTTGTCTTCTCCTTTTCATCTCTTTGTGCTTCCTCCTCTTCTTTGCTCTCTCCTTCTTCCCCTCCTTCTCCTGTTCTGGTAGTACAGGTGGCTTCTGTCTCCCTTTCTTAAAGCTCAGTTTCGCCTGTGTGTGGCCTCATTTCTTGTACCATTTGTGGAGTATAATAAATGCATTTGTCTCGGGCAGTAGATGCATCCACAGCCCACACTGTGGTCCCTGTGCCTTCACTTCCCATCCCGCTTCCCTCTCCCTGCATCCTAGGTTCCTTCCCATCCGCAACAGGCCTGCCTCCCTGTCGTACATTGTCTTTCATTTTGCTCTTTTTTTATGCTTTGGGCTTCTCATGTAAGAAGCATCAATTATTGCTATACTCTCTTTAAAGTAAATGTTTGTTAAAAAAAAAGGTAATAAAAGAAAACAAGAGGCAAGAGAAAAAAGTCATAGAATTGTCCTGCTACAATGTTGTGGATGGTTTGACTTCTAAATTTTTGTGTAAAAATGTGTAATTGTTTTTTCACGTTCCATAGGGATTTAAAGTTTAGAATAGCCATGGTTGTTGGAAAATAGCATTCCATGTTATGTCTAAGGTGTTTGATATTCAGACAGATAGTCATGTTAAGCTGAACTGCCTCTAGTACAGGGTAATAATATCATTAAGCTTCTTTTCTGGATGTTTAATAACTAAAGTTTGCAGACCAAAAATTAGAGAGAAAAAAAGGGCTACAAGGATAGCCAATATTTTGGCCCTAGCCCTTCAATGTCAGTGAGGACTCAGGACTAAGAAAACCTGTGCTGTGACATCCTGTAACTCAGTGGTGTCCCAAATTTTCTGATCAAGAAGTATTTAATCTTCTGTGTCTGATTTTTGGGTTTTTTTTTTTTTTGATCCAATACCCTGACCTCAAGATGCATCCATTTTCCTACAAATGACTCAAATATTTCCTTTTTAGGGCTGAGTAGTACTCCATCATGCATGGCTACCACTGTTTTTGTCCATCATCTTTTGGTAGACAGGCTGTTTCCATGCTTTAGCTATTTCTCCATGAGTTTAGTGTGTTTTATTTTGTGCTTGGCCTTCTAAGGCTGCTGGAAAATCATTCTCTGTACAAACGCAGAGATCTCTGAAGTGTAAGCAATTTCCCAGCTTTCCTTTGAGAACTGTCTTGAGGGAATTAATGCATTTCTTCTCAACGAAGGCAATGTCCCAGGGTTGAATAAATCTGAGAATTAATTTCCTCTTTTAGAAAAGCTAGAATATATGTCACCATATTAAAAGTTCTTGTAAGTCCTGAAGTGGGGACTTTTTCAGTATCCTGAGAAGTAGGTTTTTGGTGACATTGCATTAAGAACTGCTGCTCTATAAGAGAATTTTTACAGGTGTTTAGGAAACTTTTTAAAGGAGCCAATCACCCCCAAATCAATGTCCCCTATTTTATTTTCCTCCACAGCCTCTTGATTTTGAAACAGCAGCTATTTCCAAAATTGTGGTCCACGCAGAAAACCCTGAGCCTCTGGTATCCGGTGTCACATACAACGCGAGTTCTTTTGCCACCTTCACTCTTTTTGTGAGGGATGTGAATGAAGCGCCTGCGTTTACCCAACACATCTTCCAGGCGGAAGTCAGTGAGGATGTGGCTGTGGGCACCAAAGTGGGCAACGTGACTGCCTGGGACCCCGAAGGTCTGGAGATAAGGTACGGGAGCACAGGGCCGGGTGGGCCTGTACCGAGGGAATGAGGAGGGCTGGGAAGTAGAGAAGCTGGCTTCCCCTCACTGAGCAGCTGCGGCCCCTCCCGGTCATCTGCTGGCCTCAGCTCACGCAGGCGTTTCAGCAAGCGGGAGGCAGCGGCAGGTTCCATTTCAGCCCGCTTGCTGAGGGGCCCAGTGCAAGCTGGTGACCTCAGGGCGTGGTGTCCCCTTCCCGGAGCCTGGGGAAGGGTCCGGCCCAGGGAGAACTGGCACTCCAGGCAGACAGCAGGAGGCCCAGGCCCAGCTCAGGGGGTGCAGGCGTCTTGTGGGTGAGGGAGGCGCAGTTCCCTCTGCTCCCGGGAGAGCTGGTCTGGGCCGGCAGGATGCTCTGCACAGCCCACGCCTGGAGGAGCCCATGCTTGAGGTGGGCGGCCAGGCAAACGGGGAAACAGCTGCGGTCCTCTTCAGTCCAGTGGACTAAACTGTCTTAAAATGTGCATAGAGAATTGTTTTTAAATGTGCAGTGATGATTGGACATGTATAAGGTGCAGTGTACTCACGGTACATATAGATATCTGCATGATACCTGCAGAATCAGGACTACACAGCTGATCAGGCACAGGCAGGACTTGAACTCTGAGCTTTGGCTTCTGTTGTGCAACATTATATGGTATATGGCTCGGTAAATATTTCAGATTGGCTTAAACCAATGCATGTAGTTAATGACAATTCCTTAAGTTTCTCTAAACATGGGGGGGGGTCCTTGCCTCCTCCTTTAGGGACTTTTGTCTTATGTCTTTGATTGTCACATGTATTGGTCTGTTGATTGTTATTATAAAATATGTGATTTTATAAAGAGGAGTGGTTTATTTAGCTCAAATTTCTGGAAATCCAGTGTTAGCAGAGGGATCCGAGTGTCACTGGCATGGTCCAGGGAGGTTCCCCAAAGATGGGATGAAGACTCCAGTTTACCTTGCCCACAGCCGGGGTGGTAGGTTTGCTGATTTGTCACAGAAAAGAGTTTCAGGATACCTCAGTGAAAAGCACAGAAAGATTGTCTGAGGTAGAGTTAAAGAAGTATACACTCAGAGCACAGGGTGCAGGCTGTCAAGAGAGGGCACATTATAGTTGGAGTTCAAGGATTTTATGTGGTCTTTGGGGTGTGCTCAAGACGGCTGATCATCTTGAGGTTGCCCATATGGTGGGCTAGTTTAGAATGCAGGCCATGTGCGCATGCTGGAGCTGCAGATGTACTGTCCACTGAGGGCAGCTTGCTTGAAGATGGAAGTCTGCAGTGGGTGAGCCTGTGGTGTCACAGGACAAGGGCAGGCTCAGTCTGCAGGTTGTCTTACTTCTCTTGTTGCTGAGACAAAATACCTGACACCAAAGTTAAAGGAGGAAAGGCTTGTTGCACTCACAGTTCATAGAGGCTTTAGTCTATAGTCAGCTGACCCCAGGGCAGTGCTGCACGGCAGAGGGCCATCACAGAGCAGAAGCAGTTCATGGCAAAGCAGGGCAGGCAGAAGGCAGCAAGCGAACAACACGCTGCAGCCCTCTTCCTGTCCCTTATATTTTATCTAGACTTCCTGCCTTTAGGGTGGAGAGCCCTCACAGCTAGGATGATACCTTTATGCCCAACCAATCACTGGGCTAATTTAGTGATCATATGTCCTTAATTCTAGCATCGCATGTGCCAGATTCATCCATCTCCACCTAGACTATACAAGGCTTTAGGTCTCGGGGGCATCTAAACACAATCCAGAGCCCAGGTGAAAAGCACAGGCCCACTTTTCAGGCTTGTTGCTTCTCTGAGACCCTCAGGAATTTCTTTGAAGGGCGTTTCCTAGAAGGGCAAAAGGTGTTGTCACCTTGGGTAGCTTGGATTATGCTCTGAAGCTGCAGTGTTCTTGAAAGTACAGTGTAGAAATTCGTTTCCTTGCCTCCTTCCCGGTTTCACTGCTTCTGTCCTGCCTCACGAGGCTGTGGCAGCACCATTAGCCGAGGGGCCCCTCCTGCTCCCCCTCATCACCATACTGAGAGCCAGCCTGAGGTCCTGGGTGCCAAACTCAGACCTTATCCCCAGTAACAAGGAGCAGAGCTCCCACATACTGTTTTATGTTCTACTTTCAGAAAGAGAAGGAAAAAAAAATAGGGGAACGGCTGGAGATTGTACAGTTTGGTTTGGATATTATCTTATACAACGAAGTCATAAATTATGAGGGGTTATAAAATCTCTAAATTTTATGGTCAGTTGTCTAACATGCTTCTACCTCCCTCATGCAGATCCTGTAAAAATTATTGGTCAAAGATAGATGTGGTAATTTTATACAATGGAGCATTACTCAGCTATAAAGAAAGATAAACTCCAGGCTTTTATAGGTAAATGGATGCAACTAGAGACCATAATCATAAGTGAAATAAACCATTACCCCCACATGTGTAAACATTGCATTGTCTGCCTCGTGTAAGAACCTGAAAGAGTAAATAAAATTAAAAGAGCCAACAGATACCGTGAAAGGGAAAGAAACGGTTTAAAGGGAAGAAACAAGGGCTAGCCAACTAGCTCAGCTGATTAAAGTGCCTGCTTAGGCAGACGCAGGGGCTGGGGGTTCGATCCCAGCCTGAAGTTTGATCCCCTGTGCCTGCACCTGGGGCACACTGAAAGGGTGAATGAGGCCAGGCGTGGTGGTGTGCACCTGTAATTCCAGTGCTTCGGAGGCTGAAAACAGGAGGCTCACTACAAGTCTGATCTGAGTAGTGAGACCCTGAAGACCCTGTACTAAATACAAGAAAAAAAAAGTTAGAGGGAAGGAACAACTGGCATGAGGGAAAGTACAGGTGTACATTCACAGGACAGCTTGGATAATTGTACTGCTGATTTCTACGGGTCTGTTGAAAGGAAGAGTTAACGCTTAAATTTAAATTATTTTGACCAGTTTTGCATGCTTATATCTGGTCATCTGAACAACTGATTTGAAGACAACAATATGCAGTATAACAACCATTGTTGAATTCCTAAAAACATATGTACATGAATACAAATTTTAATCTATAAGGGGACAAAACAAGAGCATTTCAGGCCATTTCTCTGATGGACCAAGAGAAAGAGGTAACCTAGACATCCGTAAGCTGTGGGCAGGAGATGGGGTCAGCAAGAGAGACTGAGAAGAGGCGTCCTGGAGACGTGGCTCCGGAGGATCAATCAGAAAAGTATCTTAGGAATGAGAAGTAGCCACTAAGTCCAGAGAGTTCAGGACAGCCCCAAAGGTTTGGCCTGAGCAGCTTAATTCTCTAGCTCTACCTATTTAGAATCAATCAGCAGGCATTATGCATCCTTCCACCGAGGCACCAGAATCCGAATGCTTCTCACCGCATCCAGCATGGTTCGGGCCATCACTGTCCCTGATATGTATGGACCCTGCCATCCCTTTGTGGCCGTGGGGCTGATTCACTGTGCTGTAGGTACAATGAGTCTTTATAAAAGCAAACCAGACCATCTGATCCACTTCTGAAGCCCCCCGAAGGTTTGTGCCTCGTTTGGGGTGAAGAGCTGATCACAGAGGAGTGTTTTGGTCTGACACTTTCTATACACAGTGCTCGGCATGCACCGTACACTTGCGATGACAACAGACAACGGATGAAAATTAGCTCTACTAAAGATCAAAGTTTTAATCACCTCTATTTCTAGGATGCAGTTTATTTCCATTATTTTTAGCATAGAATACATTCTGTGAGTATGTAAGAATATAATTCTTTAACTTGTTATTATTTACATAAATAAAATTTCCCAGAGTGGGAATATGTAATCTAAAGATATGGACATCTTCCTGGCCATCATGGGGTGCTTCCCAAAGGGCTGTGCCTGTTAGTTTTCCTGAGGTTTAAGTTTTGTCTCAAATTCATGCTTCACGTATCTACCAAGTTCCACCGAAGGCCCAGATACAAGTGGGTTCCCTTCCCGCTTACCACCACGATGGCTGCCTCTTTCTCCACGTGGTCTGGCTCTCCAAGTCTCTACAGCTGCCCCTTCTGCCGACCATTGCTTGTCAGGTGGATCCCGACACCTCTGAGGTGGGTGATGCTTCTGCACCTGCCGAGCTCCTCCTTGGCCTCTCTGCTCTGGCTTGTGCTCCGTCTTCCGCATGAACACCTCTTTCAGCAAGATGGCTCTAATTCCTATGAAAGTCTCAAGGACCCATGTACTTACCACACTCTTTTTGGCATTATCTGAATGTCTGTCCCTTCCACAGGCCTAAGAGCCCCTTTTTATGAAGCCCTTTGCATGGCCGCTGCCAGGTGCTATTGAGCACTCAGCTGATGTTTGTTGAATAAGGGAGCCACCAAGCCACTAGTGGTCTGTGATTATGGTTATCCACCTGCTTTACCTAATGGCTACTTATGGGTATTTAGGTTTTCTTAGGAGGGTGCTGAGAGGGTTTTTCTTTTTCTTTATTCTTTCTTTTTTTTTTTTTTTTTCAGAACCGGGAATTGAACTCAGGCCCGTGTGCTTATTCCACTGAGCCTTTTTTTTTTTTTTTTTTTTTTTACATATACTTCCAGATTGCTTTAATTTAAGTTCTTTGATTGCCTGGAAAGTTTAGCTTTTCTTCTAGAGTTTGTGATTCTACCCTTCCAATAAAAAAGCATAAATACTACATTGTAAAGATGAACAAGTTCTTCTTTTGAAGACAGGATGTGAAAATAAAAATCTAACATAAGATAATGACACTTTATTTTATTTTTGCAGTATCAGGGATTGAACTCAGGACTTTGCACTTGCCAAGCAAGCACATATTCTACTGAGCTATCTCCTCAGCCCTGATAATGATATTTTAAATGATACACAAATGGTAATCCTGATATAATACAGTGGTGTGCAAACTGTGTGTTGTTTTCATGCTCAATAATGTAGGCTTTCTTCCATTTTCTTTTCATGAAGATATTCCCTGAGAGGCGACACAAGAGGTTGGCTTAGAATTGACCGCATCACCGGTGAAATCTTTAGTGCAGCTCCATTGGACAGGGAAACTGAGAGTGTGTACCGGGTACAAGTGGTGGCCACTGAAGTAGGTGAGCAAAAGCCATTTGCCACAGGTTATCAGTGGGGGCACTGGTGGAAATGAGAGGGCGGGTGGGGACCTTGAGGTCACCAGAATGGGATGGCTTTAAAGGAGAAAGATGGGATGGGTTCAGAAGTGTGAAGCAGCATCCACCCTTCCTGGTTTTGTGAAAGATCGGAACTACCTATGCCCCTGAGCGGCGCTGTTTCTGGGCAGTGTGGTCTCTGAGGCCGGCCAGGCTTCAGGGATGCCATTTACTCACTCTGGGTTTTTGTAGGGTGTCCTGCCTCTTCTAGGAAACTTGTGGTGCTATCTATACTATCTCCTGCAAGGTGACTCTGGGTTTCTCCTGAGAGTGAGGTCAAGCCAGTGGTCTAGTGATCTAGTCGCTCTCCCACCTGCTCCTGGAGCCCCACCCTGTATCCCATTGGTTCTACCCTTTTGGAAGCAGAAAATGTTTCATGCAGTATTCTCCACTTTGATATGTGTCAGAGCTGAGCTAGCTCCCTGTTGATCTCAGGAGCCAGCTATAGAGATTCTGATTCAATAGGTTTGCAGGGACTCGGGCATCTGGGTTTAGATGAAACACTGTAAACTGGGGCTGAGGAGATGACTCAGTGGAATAAGCGCTTCCCTGGCAAGCACAAGGGCCTGAGTTCAATCCCTGGGTCTGAAAAAAAAAAAAAAAAAGAAAAAAAGAAAAAGAAAAGAAACAGGGTAAACTTTGGAAAGAAAAGACTATTACATAGATAAGCCCAGGATGTTGGAATGATCCTTGCATAATCCTTGCATCCTGTATAACTCAGTTGTGGTGAAATATTTTACCCACTGGCTCCAAATGTGGAGTTCCAGGGAATTTTTCAAATTAAAATAAGCTTACAGGAATCATATGCTTACCAGTGATAAGGCTGCTAATTAAAACATCGAGTTCGTTGCATTCAGATGCAGTTTGCCAACCTGCAGTAGATATCTGCTAATCTTAAGCAGATCAGAAGCTCTAATTAGCTGATAAATATATGTCTGGTTTACCGAGAAAAAAAATTGACCAAATTATTCAATAAATATATGTACTTTTAGGGAAAATTTTTTTTTCAAAATGTGAAGCCCAAAACGGGAGGCTAGAATGAGAAACAGAGACAGAAATCTTTTTTTCCTGTATTTTAGGGAAGGGTCTACAGGGTGTTTAGGAGCTCACTTTGAGATTAGACTCATAGTGAATCTCCTGTTTATAGCCTCCCAAGAGCTGGGATTACAGGCGCGCTACTATACCCAGTCTCAATTGCCATCTCAGCATACCCTGGGGGCAGAGCTGGCATGGCAGGCCTGGGGATCGAACCCCGAGCCATGTGCCTGCTTGCAGGCGCTTTAATCCTCTGAGCTATTTGGCTGGCCTGGGCAAGGGACATTTTTTTTTTTTTTTTTTTTGGTGGTACCAGGGATCAAACTCAGGACCTTGTACTTGCTAGGCAAGCTCTTATTCCACTGAGCTATCTCCCCAGCCCCTGAGAAGGGAATCCTAAAAATGGCCTCTCTTTGTGATTAAAGAAAACAAAGTTATCACAGTCAAAATAATCTAAAGCAAGCTGCAAGCAAACAAATGAACAAGTTAGTTTTTATAACATGGAGCTGGACATGGTGACACACACTTAAAATCCCAGCACTTAGGAGGCTGAGGCAGAATAATTGTTGTGAATTCAAGACCAGCCTGGACTATAAAATGAGCTCAACACCAGCTTGAGCT